ATTTCGAACCGATCGGGAAATAATCTAGAGCTTCCCAATTGTAACGTTATTTTATTTCCTTTTAACAATTATTTATTTACTTTCATAAAGTAGGCATAGTTGGTGAAGTACCGTTAGTTTAACTACTAGTTTTAAACTATCGTATTATCAGGGCGGCTACAACCGGGAATAGTTAAGAAAGTGGTTAAGAAATATAGAAGTAAATAATTATTTTCACTAGTTGCTGTAAACCAAAGTATAGTTCTAATTTAAGGAAAGTATGATGCCCAAGTTTATTCCAAAATAAATTGAAAATAAAATTTTTGAAATTTCCTTTTGTCACTATCTTTTCGATTCACCCTGATTATGCACGAGTGAAAATATCGTATCTTCAGTTTCCTGTAGTTCATATCCAAATTTATAAAATCATATATCATATTTATGTAATTAGTTAAAAAGCATTGAAGGTAAAGGCTGCAAGCAATTTCGGGAACCTACGGCATTGTTGTGGTGACGTGGTCAGCACTGCGCACTGAAAGTCGTTACTTCCTCGACAAGTTGGTACCCATTAATCTGGGGTCTGGGCTGGTACCCATCAAGCCACCAGTGGGGATCGAACTCTAGTTCTTCACAATGACAGTGCAGTGCCTTGACAGCTGAGCTATAGCGACCCAATGTCATTAGTTACCCATATCTACATCATATATCCTATGAAGGCTAGTCGTTTTTTTAATGCAATATTATTTTATAAGCAAATAAACAATGTATTAAATTTTAATGGAATTTTTAGTTTTAGAAATTTCTTTGTTTAAAAATGTTTAAGGTATTTTAAAACGTTTAGTACTTTTAAATGTTCTGAGCACATGCATAGTGTGCCAAAAAGAATGAATTTCATCGAGGTATTTTATTTTAAGGAGCAATTAAATTTTTTTCAAATTTATAAAATAAAGATTTTTATTCAATTTTCGTCTGACGTTAAAGGTTAAAAATACATTTCATGTTATTTTTTTTAATTTTAAAAGAATTTTTAAAGCATCGAATATAGTAAATATGCAGGAAACAAGCAAACTTTTTTTTAAGATAATGATAAAAAAACATCTCATAAAAAAATGTAAACACTTATTTTTCAATTTATAAATCATTTTTCATCTGTGGTATGATTTTTAATGTAGTATACATATTTTGTATAGTTTATTTATATTTAATGTAGTATACATAAAAATGCTTAAATTTTAAAATATTCATTTTTTACTGCTTATAAGATAAGTACCCGAAGTATCAATCTCAAATTTTAAAGAATTTTTTCTCACTCATATATTTTTAGTACAAAACGATAATATTTTTAATAATATTATATTAGAAACGCAATCAGACTTATTTATTATGAGCTATGTTTTAACAAGATTCTAGGTTTAACTAAAAATTATTCATATATGGATTGTTTATTGTTTAAAAATAAATTATGTAAACACTGTTATTGTGAACATAACTCGGATTTAACGAGGAGTTGTTCTAACCTTCTAGAGAGAATTGAAGCTGCAAGAAAAAAAATATTCGACTGTTCGAGGGAATTTCCTTTCATTTTATAAAGTAAAATCCCTTTAGGTAATTTTTTAAGAAAATTGTTAATAAATTTCAAAAATTTCACGTTGACAAAAAGAGGAAAAGTTTCTCGTATGCTTTTCTATCAATCTCACGATAGCAGTAACTATCAGAAGATATTCTATGTAAACCATTGAATAGATTCTATATCTTCGATTGCTCATGTCTTTACCCGCACATTCCTGATCATATGTTTTTAATATGCAGAGTGACACTGATGGTAAAGAAGCAGTCAAATCACGTCAGAACATCCTATAGATCTTGCCGTTAAATTGCAAACTTCTCTGAAATTAATGTATGCAAGTCACAATGTTTTTCTTACAATGCGTGTTATACCTCAAATAATTGCCGATGTTCTATCACAAAAAGTCAAACATTATTCTAATTAGCGTGAATAACAAGATATAAATAGTAGGACGTTTTTTAACATTTTCTAAGTATTTCATTTTTGAACATTATAGCTATTATTTTCGGCAATTTAGGCCAGATCGGGTTTAACGAACAACCTGATTTAACGAGCGAATTATCTCGCTTAGAGCGTTATTGTTATAAAGGAGTTCAACTGTATTTTTTAGAAAGCTACTTCAATTTTATAGACGTATCGATAAATATTTTAAGGTGCATTCAGATTCAGCGCAAGTACACTCCTATTCAACGTAAGTTTGCAACTGTAGTTCATATGTAAATTTAAAGTGTGCTCTTATGCTGTGAGGCTCAGTTTTGGTAATTAAAAAAACTGAAGGTTTGACGTCAAATATATCCATAAGTCGGACACCGGTGACGTCGGTGTCCGACTAAGTCGGTGACGTAGTCGGACATCATTGCATACATGATAATCTTGTGTCAAGAAATAATTAAATACAAAAAAGTTTTTAAGAGTTACACATCAGAATGTTAATGTAATTCAGTTGTAAATGGTATAAATTCAATTAATAATACATATAAAACACTTTCAAAGATGTAGTGCATATTTCAGACATTGAGTATTTTTCTCAATTTTCTTAGAAGACTTTATTTGAAAAAGAAATATTTTAAAATTTATTTTCAAATTAAGTATTATTATTTTCAATAATTAAGTATCATTTTTAATTTTGCGAACAATACATTGATTCTACAATTATTAAGTCTTACAAGTTCATTATTTTTTATAATTTCATTATAAAGAGAGATGAGACTAGAAATGGTTTAGTTTCGATAAATTTTCGAAGTAACTTTTCTCTGTTAAATTTCCAATATTGAACTTATAAATGCGCTTTCGCTATTTTATGATATTTTTAAAGATTGCTTATTAATTTTTCAATAAATGAATTATGAATCATAAGAATAAAACTTTCAATGAAAGCCATCATTTATAAACCAAAAGTTGGAATATTAAAGAAGTTATTTATATATTTATACATTATTTTTAATAGAAAAAAACGAAGATATATTTTTATTTTTTAATTTTTATTTTAATATAATGAATTAACTTTGTACACAATGAATTGTTTAAAAAAAATTTACGGTAAAGGTTAAAAAACCTACGACAAAAAATATTTTTATGTGCAATTTTTACAAAAAATATTATTTAGTAATACATATTTTTCTGCATTAAATTTAAAAATTGCACGTATTTCCTGAACAATTTTAAAAATGAATAAATTTCACATAAAGAGCGAAAATTAGCTACGATCATGCAATTATTCTAATTTCCTAACCAACAGTAACAAATTGGGCTTATATTAAAGTCTATTAGATGCTTTTTATATCAAATGGAGTAAATCATAGAAAAATATATATATTTCGAACAACAATTCAATTTCACCTACCTTAATAAATTGGTTTTGTTTGTTGAAGACTAAAAATGGATTCAATACAATTTTTTAATTTACTAACAAGGTGATAGAAAAGACAAATATACACATACAAAACAAATTATTTTTATAATTTTTTGATATCATAAAAGCTTTTAGATTTACAGGATTTTCAAAACCAACTCTTTTGAAAAATTGTGAATATCATTTGAGCAGTAGAAAAAAGTTATTTATTTTTCTTCTAAAAAATAAAAGAGTAAATCTTTTTTTTCAATTTTAGATAATTATACTAAATACCGTGAGAAACCATATCATATCATACCGGTGAGCAATAACTAACTATGCAAAATTTTATAAATATTATTTTTCGTTTACGAATAGAAAGTTGTTTTCAGATTATGAAAAGTATATTGAAAAATAATATCTAGTTAAAAAAAACTAATTGTTGAGAAGTTAAATGTCTGAAATTCATTTTATCATTATTATTAATTAAATAAAAATATTTATAATTCATTTTAATTAAAACAATATCTTATGATAATGTAAATTTATAAAAGGAAATTTTTGTTGAAATTTTTTTAAAAACAGTTTATATTTTTGAACTAATTCAAAGAAAAATGTTTTATTATGAAGATAAAACCTTCTAAATTTATTGGAACTTTAAAAAGATAAAAAATAAGAGTTATTGGAAATTTTGATATTAATTTTAATTAAATTCGTACTTAAATATCTTTTAGATATACAAAATGCATTTCTTCTTTTAAATATTCGTAAGCTATTTTGATTTAAAATAAACTTTTCGTTAATTTATTCCATGTAAAAAGTTATTTCTCTCAAAATATATCTAAATCAATAACTAAAATAAGTAATAAATCATGACAAATTGAAAATTTTATATTAATTTTAATTAAATTCGTACTTAAATATTTTTTTAGATATACGAAATGTATTTCTTCTTTTAAATATTCATAAGCCATTTTGATAAAAAAATAAATTTTTTGTTAATTTATTCCACGTAAAAAATAGTTATCAAAGTTATTTCTCTCAAAATATATCTACATCGATAATTAAAATAAGTAATAAATCATGACAAATTAAAATTTTGATATTAATTTTAATTAAATTCGTACTTAAATATCTTTTAGATATACAAAATGTATTTCTTCTTTTAAATGCTCATAAGCTATTTTGATCAAAAAAAATTTTTTTTGTTAATTTATTCCATGTTAAAAATAGATATTAAAGTAATTTCTCTCAAAATGTATCTACATCGATAACTAAAATTAGTAATAAATCATGACAAATTGAAAATTAACTAATTAATAGTTAATACCACGTTAATAATTACATCGCGTAAAAAATTTGCTTTAATAATAGTTAATAATAATGTGTTAATATCGAGCTAAATAATTCAACGAATTTATATCTAAATAAACATTTTAAATTTAAACTACTTACGGTATTAAAAGAATTTATTAGTTCCAAGTGTTGAGGTTTGGCTTTGAGAAAGATATGATGAAGTATTTTCTCATGCAAAATCTTAACATCCAATAAGTAAAGGGTGAATGGGCTTTTAATTTTTATCGATTAAGATAAATACTAAAAGTAAATATCCGGAGTACTTACCGGTATAACCCTTGTCCGGTTAAGAGCGATTTTATCAATATCCGAATCCTTCGGCCGGCAAAGGAACACGAAGATCTGAAGATGAGAGAGAAAAGAGAGGAGAGGAAAAACCGCTAAAACAGCTTAACTGTCTTGAAGAGCAAAGATGAAAAGTTGGTGTTTGAATGGTTGGTGCAAGTCGTTATGCAGTTCGTGTTTAGTAAGAAAGGCCAAGACGTCTAAAAATGACGTCACATCTCAAGGCATAAGGTCGAGTGTTTGGAGATTCGCTTGTGATTCGCTCGGACTACTGGTGCATGCAGGCTTTATGTATGGAACCCAAGATATTGGTTTGATTGAGGGTCGGAAATCAGTGTGGGGCAAAAATGTTTATTTTCAAAACACTAGGGTTTATCCTAAGCCTTTTGTTTATCAAGGTGTGCTCTACTTAAAATAAATCGTGCAGTAGGGATTCCTATACCATTAATGAAGGGTTTGAATGGCAAGAGTTAATTATGAACTTTATTAGATGTAATTTAAAAAGATAATGAATAGATAGTCTGTGAACTGGTTTAAATATTCAGGTAGTTTAAGTCAGACAAGTCTAGCTGAGATGGGAGTTTACAATTGAATTTAAGAGATAATATAACGAAATTAGATGATTAAAGAAATTTGAGCTTCGTATTAGAAACTGAAAGCATTAAGAAAATAAGATTTTTGCTAGGGATGCTTATTATTGGGATTTTTAGTAAAAGTGATGCAGCTGTGCTTTTATAGGCGCTATTCAAATTATTTAACTATTTATGAAAAGATTGAATTAATTTGCCGACAAAAACTGTAAAAGAATATTTTTACGCATACCGGTTAATATGGCTGGGTGTTATTAAATCAAATTATGCTTTGCTTTTATAGGCGTTATTCAAATTATTTAACTATTTATGAAAAGATTGAATTAATTTGCGAACAAAAACTGTAAAAGAATATTTTTATGCGTACCGGTTAATATGGCTGGATGTTATTAGATTTTTTACATCAAAATATGCTTTGCTTTTATAGGCGTTATTCAAATTATTTAATTATTTATGAGAAGATTGAATTAATTTGCCGACAAAAACTGTAAAAGAATATTTTTATGCATATCGGTTAATATGGCTGGGTGTTATTAGATTTTTTACATCAAAATGTGCTTTGCTTTTGTAGGCGTTATTCAAATTATTTAACTATTTATGAAAAGATTGAATTAATTTGCCAACAAAAACTGTAAAAGAATATTTTTATGCATACCGGTTAATATGGCTGGGTGTTATTCGATTTTTTACATCAAAATATATCGCCAGGAAATATTGATGTTTCACGATATACATTGATAATATTGATGTTTCGCGATATACATTGATAATATTGATGTTTCACGATATACATTGATAATATTGATGTTTCCGCAGAGGACTGATCGTAGAAACCGTTCCCTCTAGAACATCGCATCGCTGGCTACGGTCAGTATGTGGATGGGTGGCCACTTTGATCAGCCAGGGTAGAGACCGAGGGAGTGCGGTATCGGTTCTCGTTAAACTGCTCTTGACTTCACGCGCAAATCGTCAGGCTACCAGAGCAGGGGAGCCATCCCCTCTGCAGAAGATCAAAATTGCGATGGTATGTCTTCGGATCATCCTCAGGGATGTTTCCCAGATGGTCGCCATTAACCCATTGTGCAGGTCTAGAGCGACGCAAATAAAGTACTTACATATCACGATATATCATGTTTTTTTTAAATGTTACTCATTTACATTATTTTCGCATATGCAATAGTTTCTTTGCGAATAAGAGATGTATCATCACTCAAATAATATTGTACTCGATAATTATCGCTCTCTATAACACTCACGTAATTCTTCACGTCTCGCTATTTACAATTTCTATAATGATGACGATATTATCGTAAACGATCGTAATCGTGTATTATCGTAAGCGATATAGATTTATGTTTTTCGTAATTGTCTCACTATAACTAAGCTTTTTTTTTTTTTTGAATTTCTGTTATCTTTAAAAAATATAATGAGCTGCTTTTTCATTCTTAAATGTTTCGCTTTTGCAATCTTGTTGTGTTATTTAATTATAAATAATTTTTTCTTCCCACAATTTCTTGTAACACGAGCCATTATTAAAAAATATATAAAATTGTCGTTTTAAATTCAAATTAAATATTATTGTTAACAAGATCTAGATTAAAAATAAAATAAAGCAAGTAGGAAAAGAATTACATAAACTTTATAGGCTTGGCAAATGATAATAGTTAGAGTTGTGACAGTCCTCAAACACAGAGAATACTGGCGTAAACATTTTAAGACCACGTTATTTATATGTAATTACTTTTAATAGTTAGGGTTTTACATGTATAGTTAAAATATATTACCATAAACTATAATTCTTACTATTGCTCAATTGCATTTAATTTTTTACAAGAGCTTAACTCGTTGCTTTGTATGTTTCTATTTCATACTCCAGAGCCTTTAACTATATTCCTCCAGAACCCTTAACTATATTCAGCATACTTTTATGGGGTGCAATAACGAAATGCTATTTTTACCGTTACTCGTCTTTTTTTTAACATTATCATAATTTTTAAAGTAACATTTTCCTTATTTTAAACACTGAATACTTAATTTAACACTCGGCATCGGAAGCTTTGGTAATGTACAAATATGGTATGGTTGTTTTACTTTATATGGTTGTTTTACTTGCAAAAAATTACTAGGGGACTTCGTGTGGTATTACTGCTCCGCAAACTGCTCTTAAGCGTTAATGTAGTGGGATCGAATCCTGTTGTAAAACTTTTTCTCAAAATTTTGCTCTCCCGCAGTGAACTGTTTGTAATGACACTGTTCACTGTAAGCTTGGTGACCTCTACGATGGTTGACCTCTTTGATCAGCTTGCATAGGAACCGAGGGTGTACGGCATCGATCCTCGTTGCACTGATCTACCGTGAAGTACTCGACATCGCGTGCAGGTCGTCGAGCTACCAAAGCGGAGGAGTCACCCCCTCTGCAAAGGATTAACATTGTAATGGCATGTCTTTTCGGATCTAGGGATGCTTCCCAGATCGTCACCGATAGCCGATTGGGCAGCTCTAGTGTGACATAAATAGAGTCACCGATAGTCGATTGGGCAGCTCTAGTGTGACATAAATAGAGTCACCGATAGTCGATTGTACAGCTCTAGTGTGACATAAATGGAGTTACCGATAGCCGATTGTACAGCTCTAGTGTGACATAAATGGAGCATCTACCTAATTACAAAAAATTGTGCTGCATGTTTTTCAAATTGAAAAGAGTTTTTAAGCTATTCTTGGTATTTGCAGATAAAAACCCACACATATAAGTGAATAAATAAGTAAATCCCACTGCCCCCATAAGAGATGCATACAACAGACGCCTTAGCCTGATCTTTCCGAGTATAGTATTTTTAAAACACTTGAAAGCATCATTTAAGCCCCTTTTCTCTCTGATCGAGAACTATATTAGTAAAATAAATAATAAACTGTGACCTCCTATCAACCTTCCTATCCTATCAGCCATTTAAAAAACCCGAAATTTTAAATAAACGATGGAAGTGCAAACAGTCGATTACTTTTTTATTTGGTGACAGACAGACATCAAAGAGTTAAAATTAGACATCAATAATAAATAATAAAAGATAGACATTAAAGGATTAAAATTAAAAATTAAGTAGCAAAATGAATGACGATTCTGAAGCATGATTTTAGCATGATACCTTAAAGCGTGGCATAAAAACCATTTATTCGGTTAAATTTCCTTTTCAGTTTTGTATTTTTATGTGGTAATGAGAACGATAATTTATAAAACCTGAATTTCCGGTAACCGTTACCATCATGAGAAGAAAGAATATCACATAAATGGTTTAAATGCTGTATATTTTTTATTACCAGAATTGTGTGCTTTTTTTTAACCAGAAATGTCATTACCATACAAGTAAGGTGATTTTACCGAAATTTTTTCCTAAATGTATGATGGGGTGTGCTTTACATTCGGGACGTAAAACTCCTCCCACCGTCAACATACATACAAGTAAGGATTAAAAATATTAAATATGAACATGTAAAATTATTTGCAAAACAAACTTATTTAACCGTAATGTTTTATTTTAAGTTCATTTTAGTGCAGCGAAAAAAAATCCTTAAACAAATACCATGTTTGTGAACAGTGAACATTATATCCTGATACAATTCGGGAAGTAGGTATGATGGAATTCAGTTATTGGGAGTTGCTCAACTCCCAATTACTATTTGTTCACTTTATATTGAATCTATGAGCTGTACGTCCCATATGAACGTCCCATTTATGGGCCTATTTTATTATATTATGTGTTTGCACATATATAAGTATTTTTTGACGAATTTTTAATATCTTGGCCTTATTTTGTAATATTATGACAAAGCTCATATTACCGTAATGTTTTCAAAAATATAATTTTTAGCTAAATCTTATAATTTTTTGTTAAGTTAACGCATATGAAAATGAAAGTAATAATTTTTTATCATTTGATTTGTTTTCAGGGTATATTTTTAAGATGGGACGCAATAATGTTTTTTTTTAAATCTTATTACCTTTCTGAGAATTGTATTAAATAAAAGTGATTAAATACTAGAATTTAATTTCCCTAATGCGTTTCAATTAGCAATATTAAGTACATATTTTATATAAACAATTCCTAAAACTATGCTTTACCTCTGCTAATTGGAAATCCTAGGAGATATTTACTTAAAAAAATGGTTCGTAACCAACCGTTAAAATAGTTTGAAAGTGATTAAATAAAATGGTTAAATACTAGAAGTAAAGTGAACTAGACTAGTATATACTAGACTATACTAAACTAGACTAGACTATACTAGACTAGACTAGACTATACTATACTAGACTAGACTAGTATACTAGAATTTAGTTTACCTAATACGTTTCAATTAGCAATATTAAGTACATATTCTATATAAACAATTCCTAAAACTATGCTTTACCTCTGCTAATTGGAAATACTAGGAGATATTTACTTAAAAAAATGGTTCGAAACCAACTGTTAAAATAGTTTAAAAGTGATTAAATAAAATAGTTAAATACTAGAAGTAAAGTGATTAAATACTAGAATTTAGTTTACCTAATGGGTTTCAAT